TTCTTCTCCCTCATCAATCCTCGTCTCCACAGCCAGATGTCCTGAAAACACTTTCACTTGTGACAGTGGAGAATGTGTCACTAAGTTGAATCCAGAGTGTGACTTTGTCGCCGACTGTGCGGATGGATCAGATGAAGCTCGCTGTGGTGAGTCGTCCTCTTAGTTATTACTAATGAAGGTAAACATAAACAAGATGCCAGGTGAGATGCTGTGTCTGAAGTCAGAAGTGGCAGAGAAGTATGTGAGGATGGTGCCGGAAATTAAGTCCCTGATAAGAACAGAGTATGTGTGAATCAAAGAGCTGCAAGTGGTAAATGTGATGAGTCATCATTCAAGGACAGGAATAGACCACAGGTCAGGACCGGTGTTGGACAAAGACAGTTAAGAAAAGAAGATACGATAATAATACTTTATTATAGCAGTAGAGACAATATGTGAGCAGAAAAAAAAGGAATAAACAGATTGAAGAGGTTTGAAATTATGTATTATCAAACATGTGATTTGTGTGAATAACCAAACTATTAATAGTTGGATGTTTTGAAGGTGAATCTACTGATGTGACAAAGGAGTTTATAAAAACGTTTCTTTACCAAGGACCAGTGGCACATGTCATGTACATTTTCAAAATAAAACGTCTTTTTTTTTGTGTTTGAGTTTTATAAGACATTTTATGTTGAAGAATTCTGTGATTATTTGAAGAAAGTAGATGGAGATGACAGTAGCCTTTTTAAATTACCGTAGGTCAATTATTATTTCTTTCACTGAGGCCTGCTGCAGCCCAGTACCAAGTAACCCATGGACCAGGGGTTGAGAACCACTGCACTAGCTGATTTACACATTTGGGACCATAGATATATTTTCTGTCACACGAATCAGCCGAATTTAAAGTCTTTTAATTTTTTTTTTAAGGGACAACGACCCCAGAGAGTGGACCGCCCTGGTCGGTGCCAGACTGGTGAGCGGTGAAGAGTCAGAGTCCAAGACGTATAACATCAAATCCCTGATGGTGTCACCAGAATATAATCCTATGACCACTGACAACGACGTCACGGTGCTGGAGCTGGACACACCTCTGACCTTCGGTTCCTACATCCAGCCGGTCTGTTTGCCGTCTCCGTCCCACGTCTTCGCTTCAGGCCAAAGCTGCATCGTGTCCGGCTGGGGAGCGCTGCATCAGTTCAACCGTGAGTCTGTACCCACAAGATGACCAGGACATGATGTCATGTGATGGTTCAGAGGAGAGGACTTAGGTCAAATGATCTGATAGTGATGTCTTCTTTTGGGTTCTTTTATATTAACAATGAACTAATCATTTTTTTATTATTCATAACAGTAGTGCAATAAACTACTGTCTTATAATACTGTCATATAATAATTGGCATTTTATTTTTACTCTTTACTCACTTTAATTCGCCTTTTTTTTATGTGGGAATTTATTGTGGTTTTAAAATATGCACTGATTAACTCCAGGTTTTAATTAAGGGATGGATATCGTTAAACAACTGACTGATATGTCTAGAAAAGACTTAAATAAACAAACGGGACAGACTCAAATGTCAACTCTTAATTGCTATAATTGATACAACTGCAGTATAAATATGTATCGGGTACTCTGCATCAGTTCAACCGTGAGTCTGTACTTAAAAAGCAGGTATTTGAAGAATACTTATGCGTACTACTTTTCAGTGAGTAATTCATTTCTTCGTTTCCTCTCTTGTGTAGCCGCCGTGCCTCCGACGCTGCAGAAGGCGGTGGTGAAAATCATCGACTCGAAGGTGTGCAACAAGTCGTCCGTGTACAGAGGTTCAGTAACTCACAACATGATGTGTGCTGGATTCCTGCAGGGCAAGGTGGACTCATGTCAGGTCAGTGCTTCTACGGCGTCTTTAGGAAAACTGTTGACATTAGGCAGCGACAATGACATCACCTATCACTTTACATTTTCTTACAGAACTCTTTAAGCCTTTGGGCAAAGTTTGGTATTTTGTTTCCTTTCTTGAAACTATGAGCCGGGTCACGACTGGGCCTTGTTCTACAAACAGGGGCATTGTTTAAATGAATGTTTGACATGACAAGGTTAGATTGACAAAACACGCTGCTGTCTTTATTTTAGTGACTTTAGTTAAATTAAAAATATTTTATTTAGGAGGTTAGATTGACAAAACACGCTGCTGTAAATTAAAAATATTTTATTTAGCTAATTTAAAAACACACAGTACCAGCGTTAAATACAGCAACAAACACTGTCTAACTCATTGTTTCTCAAAGACTGGGTCGCAAGAGGTTTTTTGTTTCGGGTCGTCTCGCATCATGTTTTGCAGGAGTTTACGAATAATGTCTATTGACTCGGGTCACGAAGGTTTGTGACTTTTAAAATATGGGATCAATTATATCAGTGACTTGAACCATTTTTCTAATTTGTTGTAATAATTATATTTGTTGTTATCATCTCGCCGTAAAAAAATGTTAGAGATTTTCTGGTTTCTATGCAGGGTGACTCTGGGGGTCCTCTGGTGTGTGAGGGGGCTCCTGGCAGGTTCTTCCTGGCTGGGGTGGTGAGCTGGGGTATCGGCTGTGCTCAGGTCAACAGGCCTGGGGTGTATTCTCGGGTCACACGGCTGCGCAACTGGATCCTCAGCCACACAGATCCCAGCCTGGTCAGTTATGACTCCCAACATGTTCCTACGATCCCTGTCACTGAGAAAGAAGTTAGCTTCAATAAACCGCCAGCGTCCATGACTGTAGCCATGGATACGTTTTCTGCACCAACTCCTCCTGGTAACAGCCTAAAATCGCCGACATATACTGTATATTTAATAATTGATAAACATAAATAACACAAGTGTACATTTCAAATGTTTTCTTTTATTTCACTCCTCCTGGTGTGCTTCCTGTCACGTCTCTCAGTGAGTCAGAACTGCAGTGACAACTTCCACTGCAGCGCCACATTCTGCATCGACAAAGTGAACCCAGAGTGCGATGGTGTCCCCGACTGTCCCAACCAGGAAGATGAGAGAAACTGTGGTAGGTGGTCAATCAGCAGGAGAGAGAACACACATTTGATTCAATGAATTCCTCTGAGGTCTGGGTTTTTGTTTGTTTTTTTTCAGATTGTGGATTGCGTCCTGCGTTGGGTTCCCAAAGGATTGTGGGTGGAGTAACAGCTCGTAGAGGGGAGTGGCCTTGGATTGGTAGTCTGCAGTACCAGAGACTTCATCGCTGTGGCGCCACTCTCATTCACAGCAGATGGTTACTGACTGCAGCGCACTGCTTTAAAAGGTACCGTTAGATTCTTTCAAACTCGGTGAAGTTACTGAAACATGCAAACATACAGTGACATTGAAACAATGGCACCAACAGTGATTCGAGCCCAACCAACTGGGCCGTGAGCCTGGGGTCCGTGTTGCGCTCGGGGATCGGAGCCCTGGTCATCCCCATCCAGAATGTCATCATTCACCCAGCATTCAATTCCACCAACATGGACTACGACGTGGCTCTGCTGGAACTGGCAGCTCCCGCTCCCGTGTCCTACACCATCCAGTCCGTCTGTCTGCCCTCTGCTGTGCATCTCTTCCCAATGAACGCAGAATGTTACATCACAGGCTGGGGATCCACGAGAGAAGGAGGTGAGAGGAGACGGAGGTTTTCTACAACTTCTAGAAGTCTAAACTACTGTATCTGGTTAACGGAAAACTAGTCTTTCAAGGTTGAGTCTGTGGGAAGGTTATAAAAAAATCCATCTATGATTACTCAAAATTCAGTCTGTGGGAAGGTTATAAAAAAAAAAGATTCTTACAAAAAATCCATCTATGATTATTCAAAATTCATGCACACATTTACTCTGTTTACATGTGTTGTTGCTTTGTTTACACTTACATTAATGTTCACGTGTTCTCTACAGTTCAACCCCAATGTTTACTTTTTGAATTGCTATTATTAATCATCATGTGTCTGTCCTGTTTTATTTTACTTAACATTTTAAATGTCTGTGAATAAACTGTTGGGTTTTTTTTCCCCTTTTTGCATTAATTGTAAATAAAGTTCTATATTCTATTCTTTTTCTGTTTTGATGAGGGTGAAAATGAGAAAACATTTCCGTTATGCACATTGAAGTGTTGATCTGCTTCACCAGGTTCACTGACCAACCTCCTGCAGAAAGCTGCCGTGAACATCATCCAGCAGGCAGAGTGTCAGCAGCCGTATGGAGACGTCCTGACCAATAACATGATGTGTGCCGGACACATGGAGGGAGGGAAAGACACCTGCTTGGTAAGAAAATATAGTATCTCTTTGGTTCCTGGCAGTTGGCCACTTTATTCCATTTCACGTGAGGGTTTTTTAACCGTAATATTGTGACAAATATACATTTTATTTCTGGTTAAATCCTCCAGTATTGGTCCCAAAAAAACAGTCTTAAATGTCAGACTCTCAAGGATACAACAGACTGAGGAGTTATCAGTCAATTTAATTAAATTAAGATTATGTCATTAAACTGTGAATAAAGTCGGCTCTCTGGTTAGAGTGTAAATATTATGAAGAAAACCAAGTGTTGCTTGTTTGGAAATATGGCAGCGGTCCTGTGAAGGATGTTTTATCTGATGGGAGAGAGGAGTCTAAAATACAGAGCACCCCTTCTTACCTGCTCCCTCCTTGCAATCTTCTTAGCTACAGAAAAAAAAAATGCATTCCTGTCTCGGTCAAAGCACCAGGCATCTCAGCAGTACTGATCCAAGTGACATTCTCCTCGCAACTGCTGCCTTTCCTTTTTTTTGTTTTTCTCCCTCACACTCCTCCTTAATCATAACAATTGGTCATTTTTATTGTTACGTCCAGCAAAAAAAAAAAAAAAAAATCATATTTGCCTCTTCACTACCAGGGAGACTCTGGGGGACCACTGACCTGTCGTCAGCAGTCTGGCCAGTGGTTTATTGCTGGAGTGACCAGTTGGGGACATGGATGTGGGCGAATGGGTTTTCCAGGGGTTTACACTCGAGTGACGTCGGTCAGGAAATGGATATCTACTTACATACCATTCTGAAGAGGTAAAAAAAAAAACAGCTTTACCGCTACGGAAATGTCAGACTGCATGAGTACCATGAGTTACACCAGGACATTGTACTGTACAAGGACTGAAGTCATTCTAAAAGCCAAAAGACATTATTTGTTACCAAAGTATTGAACATTTACTGTGCAGTCATCGGAAATCCTCTCTATGTGTACTGACGAAATAAGAAGAATCCTACCGGAAACAAGCATGACTGAAAGTATTTATTTTAGTTATTTATTTTTCTGACCATTATGTTTACTGGTTTACATGTGGGGCGTAAATATATATGTGGTTTAATGGGTATGTTTTTTTTTTTGGAGATAGTTGATTGCTCCCTGTTTGGTGTGCCTTTCTTGTAAAATTTTTTTTTTGTGAAATAATAGGTAAATAAGGTTCAAGGGGAATTCAGCCTTTTTACTTGACTTTGATAAAGGCAGCACTGGATGGCATTTCCTACACAGAAACAAAACATCCACCTGTTTGACGAGCTTGATTCTAAAAAAAAAAAAAATCCATGCATTAGCTCAGTCAACCTTCAGTGTTGCTCATATGCTTGTCTGGCTCTAACGTCCCTACGCAGAGTCAGCAGGCTGAAGGAAAGTGGATTCTGATTTCCAGACAGCAGAGAAAAAAAAAACGGAGAAAGGTTCAGTACCCCCATTTACAGTCAGGCAGACCTTGCTAAAACAAGCCCATTACTGTGGAGGGCAGCATATAGAGTAACAACCAGAAAGCAGGTCAGACAAAACTGTTTTGTTCTCCGGGCGTACTTTGATAGCAAACTATTTAAAGGCTTGTGAATGTCAGGTCCGTGGTTGTGAAAACATTAAGGTGCTACTCAATTCATCCTGCCGAATTTAAGTAGAGCTTCTGGAGCGGGAGCACGTTGAGGAAAGCCTTTGTTGGGCTCTCCATGTACTGTTGTTTATTCTCTCAGTGGAGAACCACTAAACAGTTTAAAACTATACAGGGCTGCTGATTGTTTGTCACTGAGTTCTTTTTATTTAAAGTTGCCTTTGTGACCACAAAACATCAGATGTTTTTTTTTTTCTCTAGGTCCAGATGACTGTACAGATCTTATTTTTGCCGTGTTCAAACATCCTCTGGTGCTGCAGTTGACAAATTTAGAACTGGCATGTTTTACTTAACATTTATTTTATAATTAGCGTTTAATGAATACCAGGGGTTTGAGCATATCCCAGAATGCAACAGAAAAAATGCTGAGATGTACAGATAAACACATTCACACGTGTGTTCACCTACAGAGGAGGATATACTGAGTTCATAACTAATAACGTGTGTCCACTCTGCAGCGTTTAGCAGTGTTTATTTACACATTTTACAGAAATGTAATTTCTTCTTTGACATAAAACCATAAATGACCAAATGTGACCAGTGAAGTATTCCTCACAGCATAGTAATGACAATATCCTGCAACAGTGTTATGGCTGGAGTCCACGGGCTCTCTTAGCTCCTCTCTGAGGTACGATGACAAACGACCGCGGTCTCGACGCACTCGTCCACCGCTCGTGACCATTGTGGCTCAGGTAGACAGCTGTGTTTCCCCCGCACACTCAGCTGCAGGTGTGAGGAGGGAATGAGTGAAGGAGGCGGGGGGGGAGGGGGCTTCACATGTGAGATCTTTCCTTCTGTAATCTGGAGTTATAGGTTTTAGAGACTGTGTTCCAGGTATCCATATATCGATCCATACACATGGCGAGACATTTCTGAGGGGGGAAAAGAGCAGAGGTTGCAAATTATACCTACACGATACTTCAAATCTGGAGTTTACTGTTTTGAGGATTCTTAACAGAAATACCAGGCTTCTGTTACAGTTTTGGAGACAATCAATTAACAGACACGTATACGTATACAGTATCTACAATTAGCCAACTACAACTGCATACACTACTAAATATTACCTCTGACAGAGAGGTGTGTGAAATGGAAAAATATTATATTTTAGTTTCAGACAAGGGCACGGCTTACACACCTGCTCAGAGTTGTCCAGTGAATTTCCCGGTCTACTTATGCACTTCTTGAAGCATTTGTCTGTCACTCTCTGCAAAAAAAAAACCAAACACAAAATATGAAAACAGGGCTGGTCTTTAGAGATTATTACTGAAATCTCAGGCATATACAATGATAAATGACAAACAGAGACAAACTAGTTTAAGTTAACACTGTTAACTGATGTTTCAGCAAATATTACACGGTCTTTAGAGATTATTACTGAAATCTCCTAATGTTTCAGGAAATATTACATATTACCATATGCCATATTACAACTAAATGAATAACGTGTTTTAGTTTCCTACTTACTATAAATAAATAATCTAATTTTGGCATTTTAATCTTTGTTTTACAAGCATTTTTACGTTTTACAGCAGTAAACTGAGCATCTAAATATAACCAGTACAGGACTTTTTTTGAAGGCTGAACAGCTGTTCAGTTGATTGATCTCATGATATAATCAATTAATATATATTCAAATCGTTCGTGATTATTTTTGTCACAGCAGGATCAATACAGCTGATCATTTAGTCCATCGATAACCCATTCACCCTTGCTCCCTTACTGTACTGTACGTTCCTAAGGCTAGTCTTGTTAGCTTAGCACCTGTAATTTACCTTCAGCAGCTCCTGAGCATTAGCCACGGCGATCTGGACCTTGACCTGCTCCATAATGGTGTTGGCATCCAATTTATCGCCGGAGCCCCCTGCTGAAAAGTCTGACCCAAAACCTTCCATTTCTTACGGATGTGAAAGTAAATAGTACTGCAAACACACGTGTGGACAGCGGCAACTCGGTTAGGACTTCGGTTTTCTATGCCCTTGACGGCGGCGGAAGTCCTTGCGTCACTTCCGTGAGGAGTGCGAGTCAAGAAGATGTGTGGGTGGTCACGGGAAATGTAGTTTACTTTCGCCGGTTACTAAACACGAGTAGTAATCGATCACTGTGATATACAAACAAAGTATTACTAATAAACAAAAGCATGCTTTAAATAAACTGTAAATAACACAGTTAGGTTTGTTCTAGAAAAGTAGACCATTTTGTTCATGTCGCCGTGCTTTTCCGTGTCATTAAATAAAAAATTAAACCGTTTGCTGAGAGCCTACACTTCTTACAAATAACCTGTGTGATTCGTAATTTTTTTTTATAAATTCTTCTTATTTTTAAAATGCAGTTATCGAAAATATTTTTGATTGGTTTTTTTGTTTTTTGTTTTTTTTAAGTAGCAAGTAGCAGGTTCAACTCCATGTCTACGCCACATGGTGGTGATATAGTTGCACACTTTGTGCAACTATACTTTGTTTTCATCTTTGCTTTGGCCTCTTTGTAGTTTATGAAAAGAAAAAAAGTATTAACTTCCCTCTTCTAAACAATATTACCTTTTGTATTTGTTTGAAAACTGGAGGAACAACTGGAGGAACAACTGGAGGAACAACACGGAAAAAAACAAATTTGTATTTGTTTGAAAACTGGAGGAACAACACGGCAATTCTCTATTTGTTTCTACATTTCAATTTAATTAATGAATCGTGCAAATAACACAACATGCAGGGTATTGTATCTGAGCAGATATAGTGGAGTAAGTTTTTGTGATGTACAAAAAAGAAAAAAATAATTGTATGAATGTTATATTTCTACATAATGATTATTTACTTTTATTTTTATCCCCATATCCACACCTATATACATAGAAAGTGTTAACAATTCCTTCCTGGACCAGTCTCCTTCAGACAGGATGACTTCACTGAGGTGACCACCTGCAGTGACTGGACAACAGTGTGGTACAGTGAGCCTGTAAGGAAACAATGCAGTGACAGTTATTGTCTAAACCAACGCTTTGTACAAGCTCTATAGCAACACAGGGGATATTGAAGAAACATTGTGGGGGGTCTGATTAGTGGCGTGGCTGCCAAAGAGTTATTAATGACCGGTTACACAATTGCAAAGGCACACACACATACATCCACATATGTTCTCCAAACCGTTTGGCTTCAGGTCATGGGGCAGAATCAGGAGGGAGGGGCAGGACTGTGTTAAAGTGCAGAAAAAAAAGAATTAACCCCAGATCATAATCATGAATTCATTAATGTAATCGTCTTAAATTCTTAATCCTTCCGATCCCCCCTGAGTGTGTAAGAAGCCTTAGGCCCTGGTGGGCAATGAGGAATTTTCATTAAGAAACAGCGGTTGTGAAGATTAATAAATAATCAGCAGGATGCATGTTTATTGGTGTCATACCACAGGTTAATGGGGACACCTGATTGGTTACTCCGAGACAAGTCAATATGGAAAAAACTTCTAATCCCAAAGCATTCTATAAAGAGATTTCTAGGGATAATGGTATGAATGCATACCTCACCTTTGTAAACCGTACGCAAACACACCAAGAAAGCAAAACAAGTGAGGCTTGAAAAGCTGTTTAGCAGTAAAATAAATAAATTAAAAAAAGAGAGAAGCCTGAGAAATGTACTCAAGTGCTGAATAATCTGTCAGTTTTTGGTGAATATCAATGTTCATGGACCCCACTTTTAAAACAAGGTACTTTCTTTCTCAAAGTAAAACGAAACCATCTTCAACGTCGACATGTAGAGACATGTTCAAGGCCTTTCTTATACACAAAAAGGTCTTCTGCATAATATTTCATTTTTTGAGGTAAACATGTGTGCATAACTAATATTTGTATTGTAGAAATGTATATCTATATATTTTATTTATTTATTTTTAATGTAGCTCCTTGTAGTATATGCAGGCTGACTGTGCTCATGTTTTGCTGAATCCTATCCTGATAACCTGGTTGGACCCAGAGGTTTTGGTATTTAAATCCCTCAGAAAATTCCTCGAATTATGAGGTAGAAACAATCTCATTATTCACAGTAAGAACTTGTGAACGGTTGGACAGCTGGTTATATAAAAACCTGCTAGTTTTATTTACAATAGACAGTTTACAATTAAAACGCTGCAAATTATGCCTATTTAATTTGGATTAATTCAAATTAGGGCTAATTTCAAGGACATTGGGTTTAACATTTTGACACATGAAACATGTCATATTAATTTCAGTCATATCCCTGGGAGTGTGTAATCTGTTTACCTTATTTGGGTTTCTGTCACTCTGTAAGACCTGTATTTTTGATGGCTGAGGTGTAGTTGGTACGGATGAACTCACAGTCTTAGCATTTCAAACATGCAGAGAATGTATAGTGGGAATCAGCTGGTCTCGACACCACAGGAGTGGTTCCTTGTACTGCTTCAAACCCGGGAAACATAATAATATCGTATGTGTTTTTAAAGTAAAATAAATACAGTGAAATTTCCTCATTTACATATGCTGCGGGGAATATGAAAATAAATACACAAAAGATATGCAAAATATCTTTACTTTTCCTACTCAGCCATATTTTGAAGATTGTCTTTCGTAGGGTTTGATGTTGGTCTAAACTTATTTTTCTTTAGCTGTGTGAAATATCTAAAGGATGCTTTTTTAACATTTTTCATTTTCATGAAATTGTGTAACTACCAGGACCACCTTTTAGTTATTCCCTATTAAGTGTATTGTTTTTTTTATAGCAGTAGTTACGTAACTTCAGGCCAGAGCCCAGCAGTTATGTTGAAATGTGCCACATCTTCAAACATAAATCAACAGTTTTATCAACTTTACATCTACAATGTTGTTTCAAATACTTATAGCCACAATGTTGTCTCAAATACTTATAGCCAATCATCAATAAGGCATAAAGGATTTTATTCAGAAATAGCACTACTATCACCCTGAAGCTAGGATAAAAAAACACAACTCTTTATTTAACTAATTTTATTTAACTATCACCCTGAAGCTAGGATAAAAAAAACACAACTCTATTTTTCTTGTTAATTTTACGACTTGTTAAGTAATATTACAACTTTATTGTTATTAATTTTTCAAAATTAGGACTTCATGCTAGTAAACGTGTGGCTTTTTATCGTGATAGTACGATTTTTTTAAACATAAATTTACCACCTCATTCTCGCAAGTATAGGTATGATATAAGTATACTGCTTTATTATCGTAAGTTTATCGTAAGTTTACGACTCGAGGATTGTACACAGAAATGTATGGCTGTTTCTCGTTATAGTATTATGACTTTCCCTCTCAGAAATTTACGAGTTAATCTTGTACATTTACAACTTTATTCACACAATATAATTGTGACAATTATAACTTTCTTGTCACAGATTTTACGACTTTATCCCCAAACTTACGGCTTTGTTACCATGTTGTCGTAAATGTGTGCCTTCTCACGTAATGTTCCAACTTTTATTGTTTACATTTTACGACCCCTGGACTCCGTATTCATTACCGTAATATGTGCGTTTTTACACGTAATATATCAAAATGTTATTGTATTTGTTTCGAGGATTTTTAAACGAATGACTTTTTGACGATATGCTTCGACTAATTAACTACTTTATTTGCGTAATGGTTGTTGTTTTTACATAGTATTATTCTAAATACTCGACTTTCGTTTTGTAAAAATACGATTTTACATAGTATTATTCTAAATACTCGTTTTGTAAAAATACGAGTATTTAGACGTATATTTAAGATTTAACTTCGTTTATCCCGATACGTTGTCGATGTGACAAAGAAAGATTCTTGGATCGAAAAAGAAACACATTGTGTTTTGTCCTGCGGCGTTTGTGTTCATTGGGCAGCAGTGAAGCCGGAGGTGGAGGAGGAGGAGGAGCCAGGAGTGAACAGTTGAACGCCAGCTCCTCCGCCACCACCACGGCTTGTAGCTCCTGCTCTCTTCACTCCTGCTTGTGTAGTTTTGCTGAGCGCTAACAAACTCCTTTTTTCCCCCTCCTATTGTCTCCTGTTTTGTTTTTTGCGCTGTGAATAAAGGGAGCGCGACGCTGCGCACTGATGGCTCGGATATTCAACATTAGTTTGGCTCACGACACACGTATACACTCGGAGACCGGGATTTGTTTGAACTGAGCCGCAAACTTTAAAGTCACATTTCTCGACGACGACGACGACTACGCCGCGGCGGCACAAGTTGAAACGGAGATAAAGGGAACCCGGATCAGCTCTGCTACTATTCGAGGTGAGCATGCACGTCTAAACCTCCTGCAGTATCCTTCACACAGATGCCTGTTTATTTGATACTACTGCTTCCGAAATATGAGTACTTTAGTAACATGGGCTGTAACATGGGAGCTCATTGATGTGTGGGGCAGCTTGTAGTAGTACGAAGCTGCTGCTGCTGCTAACTTAGTCGGAATGTCTGGACCCATGCTTAAGTGCTGACCATAGTTTTTACATTCCCCCGACCCCACAGAAGACCACCATCCACCTTGATTTAGTCATGTTTTGCACCTGGTAAACAGTAGAGTCTTTCAGGAACATAATAACTGTTTGTTTTGTTTTGTTTTTGGCCAAATTTTCATCTGTCTATAGTTTGAAGGGTCGTGACATTGTCAGTGGTGAAAAGGGTAGCTGTGTTTATATCCTGTTGTTGTATACTCTTATATATTACAGTGCATAATTTGATCAAAACCTATGTTTCGTGACATTGTCAGTGGTGAAAAGGGTGACAGTGTTTATAGCCTGTTGTTGCATACTTTTATATATATACTGCAGTGCACAATATGATCAAAACCTAACCTTAAAAGAACTCTGTTCAGTATGTAGCATTATTATCTAGTGGTGGTGATACATGCTGTGATATATATATACCCTTCAAGAGTAATGTCAATACACTGATCAGTGACAAAAATAAAATCCAAAAACTAGTTTCAGCCAAATGTCTCACAGTGCACCTGTAAAAGCCTTAAATAAAGCTACAGTCCAAGCTTTTAATTTAAAATTTAAATAAAGCTACAGTCCAAGCTTTTAACTTAAAATTAAAATCAAATATTGTAATGCTTTTTAAAAAAATTGTTGACGGTTAATTAATAACTCATTCCAGTAATCTTACTTTATTATCTTTTAACCGTCTTTTATGTTATCACCAGCTGTGCTTGAATTAAAAAAAGAAAAGAAAGGTAGGGTCATATCCGGTTATATAACTGAATCTATAAGGATGTGTCACATCAAGTGGGCAGGAAATATTTGCCAGTGAAACAGAACATGCTGTTAGGAATTCATTGGCTCCTGCAGCAGTCGGTGGTGAGTCACAGCCTTGAAATTTTATAGAGGTGGAATGATGTGATTCAGGACAACACACCCAGGTGTTCCTTCTTCACCCGACGTTAAATCACTAGCGGTGTTGTTTTGGTGAGTGTAGATCATCCGTTGTCACAGGTTAGAGGTTTGACAATAATGTATTTTATAAAGTGAGTTAGCGTCTGTGGTGCGATGTGCACACACTGTCGGTTTACTGTGGGTTGGACTTATCTGCTCTCCTTTCATCTCTGTAGTCTAAAGTTCATTTCCGGCGGCGAGGTCCATTCATCAGCTGTCAGAGCAGTGACTTTGTTCAATCATTAAAAAAAAGTTGCAGTGTTTGTTTGCTAGTTGCTCACGACACGGAGCACACGTTGATCAAATTTACTCACTGCTGTCCAAATGTGAAATTATTAAATATGACAAATTTGTTTTTTCCTTTCACCTGTGCCAATGTTTTATTTCTGTGTGTTATTTTCAGGATTTTGTTTCAAGATGTCTGTCAGCAACCACGAAAACAGAAAGTCTCGCTCCAGCTCCGGCTCCATGAACATCCAACTTTTTCACAAGACGTCCCATGCAGACAGCCTGTTGACTCAGCTCAACCTACTGCGCAAAAGGAAAGTCTTCACAGATGTTATCCTGAAGGCTGGCAACAGATCTTTCCCCTGTCATCGGGCCGTTCTGGCCTCCTGTAGCAGATATTTCGAGGCTATGTTCAGTGGTGGACTCAGGGAGAGCCGTGACGCTGAAGTTAACTTCCACGACTCTCTCCATCCGGAGGTGCTGGAGCTGTTACTGGATTACGCCTACTCAGCCAGAATCATAATAAATGAAGAAAATGCCGAGTCACTCTTGGAAGCTGGAGACATGCTCCAGTTCCACGACATTCGAGATGCAGCGGCAGAGTTTTTAGAAAAGAACCTCCACCAGTCCAACTGTCTGGGGATGATGCTGCTGTCAGATGCCCACCAGTGTCAGAGACTGTATGAGCTGTCGTGGAGGATGTGTCTGGCCAACTTTGCGTCTCTCTTCAGAACAGAGGACTTTCTCAGCCTACCCAAAGACAAAGTCCAGGAGCTGATTCTCAGCGAGGAGCTGGAGGTGGAGGACGAGAGCCTGGTGTACGAGGCTGTCATCGACTGGGTCAAAGCCGACATGGATCGAAGGCACAGCGAGCTGCCGGAGCTGCTGCGCTGCGTCCGACTGGCACTGCTTCCCGAGACGTATCTGCTGAACAATGTTGCGTCCGAGGAGCTGGTCATGTGTCATAAGGTGGGCCGGGAGATTGTCGAAGACGCCGTGCGGTGTAAAATGAGGATCCTCCAGAACGATGGCATCGTGACAGGGTTCTGTGCTCGGCCGAGAAAAGTCAGCCAGGCTCTGCTGCTGCTGGGAGGACAGACTTTTATGTGCGATAAAGTCTACATGATTGATAATAAGACCAAGGAAATCACCCCAAAAACAGACATCCCCAGTCCTAGAAAGGAATGCAGTGCCTGTGCCATAGGTTGCAAGGTAGGTTTTTAATATTTAATTCAGTGTAATTATTTTCTTTGTATTAACATGACATAGTTTTATCAGTGCTAGAGAATGTACTTAAGTTAATGAAAATAGAGGATTATTTACAATACAAAAGCACAGTTTTTGTTAATTTTCCCATTGCTATTGTATAGTCTTTCTACCTAAAATGGTTGTTTATTGTGTTTCTGCTATTGTATAGTCTTTCTACCTAAAATTATTGTTTATTGTGTTTTGGCTAAGTCTCTGTGCGTACTTCTTTTCTGTATTACACTTTGTCCCGAGGGGACAATTAGAACATCCTTGGTACTCACATGACACTCTTCGCTATCTTTCTCAGGTTTACGTTACAGGAGGGCGTGGCTCCGAGAACGGAGCATCCAAAGACGTCTGGGTCTACGACACCTTACATGACGAGTGGTCCAAAGCCTCCCCCATGTTGGTTGCCAGATTTGGACACGGTTCCGCAGAGCTCGATCACATGCTGTACGTCGTGGGGGGACACACGTCTCTCACAGGATCCTTCCCTGCCTCTCCGTCTGTGTCACTCAAACAGGTGGAGCAGTACGACCCCCAGACCAACAAATGGACACTAGTGGCTCCGCTCAGAGAAGGCGTGAGCAACGCTGCCGTCGTCGGTGCCAAGAACAAGCTCTTCGCCTTCGGGGGCACCAGTGTGAACAGAGACAAGTATCCCAAAGTGCAGTGCTTCGACCCTTGTCAGAACCGCTGGTCTGTACCGGCCTCCTGTCCACAGCTGTGGCGGTACACAGCTGCTGCTGTTGTTGGCAACCACGTTGTAGTGATTGGCGGCGACACCGAGTTCTCCGCCAGCTCCGCTTACAGATTCAACAGCGAGACCTTCCAGTGGTCAAAGTTCGGGGATGTGACCGCCAAAAGGATCAGCTGCCACGCTGTGGCGTCAGGAAACAGACTGTATGTGGTCGGGGGATACTTCGGGGCTCAGAGGTGTAAAACACTGGACTGTTACGATCCATCGTCGGACTCTTGGGACAGTGTGACCAGTGTGCCCTACTCTCTTATTCCTACGGCCTTCGTCAGTACTTGGAAGTATCTCTCTGCATAACAGGACGCCTCGTCGCAAGTTTCTATGGTAAGTCGATGTATTTTTTTTCTCACGCAAACGTTATGAAAAATTAAACATACTCTTATTGAGGTTGAAAAGTTTTGTTAGGCAGCTAAAATTCACGTCCAGTTGCCTAACAGAACTTTTCAACCTTGACCATGACCTGGATAACTGAGAATATTCGTAGACGTACTCTTATTGTTATCTCTGCTGTTGCACAATGTACAGAAACTGATTTGGTTTTTTTTTTACTGCGTTTCAACCACGGTGTCATTTACTTAACAAACCCCTGTCAGCTTGAACCGGACCAGGCCAGTTTAAAACCCCTCACTGTTGTCTGGGTTGCCAGTGGTTACAGTTACACATTATCCTGCTGCTGTGACTGACGGCTAAGTGCTGG